TAAAACAAGGTTATATATTAATTGATTGATGAAAAAAGTGTGACCAGAGGCTTACAGGAATACAACCCTCTGGTTCCCCAAGGAGCTATGTTCAGTATTTGCTAATTCAGTGTTTGTGGTGACCTTATAGAAGATACTACTATGAATAATGAGAATTGAATACGTATATGTGTGTATGTATATATACACACACAAGATTGTATATATGTGTATTATATACATGTATACTGCTCTTTTAATTTTTATTATAAATTAGCATTTTCCTATATTAAATATTTTTGAAAACTTAATTAATGGCTTCCTGATATGGTATAATTTCATCAACCTTACAGTATTATGGGACATTAGGTTTCAAAATTGTTGCTGACAATTCATGTAATCCATCACATCAACAGGAAGAAAAACCATGTGATCGTATCAATGTAGAAAAAGCATTTGACAAAATTCAACATCTATTCATGATAAAAACTCTCTGAAAATTAGGAACAGAGGGGAACTTCCTCAAGTTGATAAAGAACATCTACAGAAAACCTACAACTAACATCATTTTTAATGGTCAGAAACTAAATGCTTTCCTGCTAAGATTAGAAACAAGGCAAGATTAGCACCTCTCACCACTCTTATTCCACATTGTACTGGAAGTCCTTGCTAATGCAATAAGATAAGAACAGGAAATAAAAGGTGTACAGGTTGGGAAGAAAGAAATAAATCTGTGTTTGTTTTGCAGATGACATGATTGTCTGTGTAGAAAATCCCTAAAGAACTCCTGGAACTAGTTAGTGATTATAGCAAAGTTGCAGAATACAAAGTCAATATGCAAAAGTCAAATTGCTTCCCTATATACCAGCAATGAACTAGGGAATTCAAAATTAAAACACAATATTATTTCTTGTCTATTGTGGATAATGCTGCAATGAACACGAAGGTGCAGATATCTCTTTGACATACTGATTTTAATTCCTTTGGATATATACCCAGAAGTGGGATTACTGGATTATATGGTAATTCTATTTTTAGTTTTATGAGGAAACTCCATAATGTTTTCCTTAATGGCTGTACTAATTTTACATTCCTATCAACAGTGTATAAGTGTTCCTTCTTCTCCACATCCTTACCAACACTTGTTACCTTTCATCTTTTTTATAACAGCCATCTGAACAGATGTGAGATGATATCTCATTGTGGTATTAATTTGCATTCCCTTGATAATTAGTAACCTAAGTGTTCATCAACAGATGAATGGGTAAAGAAAATGTTGTGTATATATACAATAGAATACTATTAAGCCTTAAAAAATGAGGAAATTCTGTCATTTGTGACAACAGGGATGAACCTAGAGAACATTATGCTGAACAAAATAAACCAAGCATAGTAAAGACAAATATTGCATGATCTCACTTACATGTCACACTTAAAAAGTAGAACCCGTAGATGTAGAGAGTAAAATGGTGATTACCAGGGACTGGGGAGGAGTATGGATGGAGAATGGGGAGATATTGGTCAAAGGGTACAAAGTTTCAGTAAGAAAGGAGGAATAAATTTTAGTGATCTATTGCACAGCATGGTGACTAATGGTCAATAATAATGTATATTTCAAAATTTCCAAAAGAGTAGATTTTAAATGTTCTCACTGCAAAGAAATAGTATGTGAGATAATGAAAATATTAATTAGCTTGATTTAATAATTCCACAATGTATACATATATCATAACATCACATTTTACTCCATAAATATATGCAATTATTATTTGTCATTTAAAAACTAAAACTGAAACACACATAATATGATTTACATTAGCACCAAAAATAAGATAATTTGGTGTAAATCTAACAAAATATGCACAAGAACTATATGTGAAAAACTATAAAACTCTGATGAAGGAAATTAAAGAAGATCTAAATAAATAGAGAGATAGGTCATGTATATAGGTAGGAGGATTCAATGTTGTCAAAGTGTCAGTCTTCCCAACTTTATATGTAGAGTTCATGCAATCCCAATCAAAAATCCCAGAAAGTTATTTCATGGATATTGACAAACTGATTATAAAGTTGATAAGGAGAGGCAAAAGACCCCAAACAGCCAACATGATATTAAAGAAGAAAAAATATGGAGGATGGCCACTATCCAATTCCAAGCCTTACTATAAAGCTATAGTGATGAAGACATTGCTGTATTGGTAAAAGAACAGACAAATAGATTAATAACACAGAATAGAGAGCCCAGAAATAGACTCACACTAATGTAGTCAACTGATTTTTGATGAGGAACAAAGGCAATTGAATGGAGAAAAGATAGTCTTTTTAACAAATGGTACCGGAACACTGGGACAGCCACAAGCAAAAAAAAAAACAAGAATCTAGACATACAGCTTATACCTTTCACAAAAATTAACTCAAAATGGGTCATGGATTTAAATGTGAATTATAAAACTCTAAAATTCCTAGAAAATAACAGTAGAAAATCTAGGTGACCTTGACTTTAACAATTATTTTTTGGATACAACACCTAAAACATGATCCATTGAAGAAAAAATTAATAAGTTGGACTTCATTAAAGTTAAAAACTTCTACTCTGCCAAAGGCACTGCTTAAAAAATAAAAAAGACAAGGCACAGATTGGGAGAAAATCTTTACTAAACACATATCTGATAAAGGATTGGTATCTGAAATATATAAAAAACTCTTAAAACTGAACAATAAGAAAAGAAACAATCCAATTTTAACAATGGGCAAAGGATCTGTGCAGACACCTCACCAAAGAATATTACAGATGGCAAATAAGCACATGAAAAGATGCTCAACATCATATGTCATCAGAGAATTGTAAATTAAAATAAAAATGATACCTACCTATTATAATAGCTAAAATCCAAAACAATAACAATACCAGATGCTAGTGACAATGTGGAGCAACAGGAGCTCTCATTCATTGCTCGTGGGATTGCAAAATGGTACAGCCACTTTGCAAGATAGTTTGGCAGTTTCTTACACAACTAAACATACTCTTACCATAGGATCTAGCAATTGCATACTTTGGTATTTACCAAATGGGTTGAAAGCTTATGTTCACACAAAAACACTCACACAAATGTTTATAGCAGCTTTATTCACAATTGCCAAAAACTGGGATGCAACCAAGATGTTTTTCAATAGGTGAATGGATAAATTGTGGCACTTACATAAAATAGACTGTTATTCAGCAATAAAAAGAAATGAGATTTTATGTGATGAAAAGACATTCAGCAATTTTAAATGCATATTGCTAAGTGTAAGAAGACAATCTGAAATGGCTATATACTGTATGATTCCAACTATATGACATTCCAGAAAAGGCAAAACTATGGAGACAATATAAAGATCATTGGTTGCAAGGGGTTTGGAAAGAGGAAGGGAGGGATTAATAAGTGGGAGCACAGGGTATGTTTAGGGCAGTGTAACTAATCTGTATGATGCTAAAATGGTAGATACATTGGTCCAAACTCATAGAATTGTACAGTACCAAGAATAAATCCTAGGGTAATTATAGACATTAGTGAAAATGGTATGTCAGTATTAGCTCATAAATTATAACCAATGTACCATACTAATGCAAGATGTTAATAATAGGGGAAACTGCGTGGGGATGGGAAGGGTTGAGAGAGTATATAGGAACTCTTGGTACTTTCCATTCAATTTTTCTGTATACCTAAAATTTCTCTAAAAATAAAAACTATTAATTTTATAAAATGTTGCTGAAAGAGCAGACAACCCTGCCATTTAGAAATTCTGCTTTTATTATTCATACTGCAAATGGCACATCACTTACATAAGTAATAGCTCTATCATATATTTTAATATATGTTTGTAAATGTCTCAACAACCAAGCTGTACATGCATTTTCCTAAAATATTCTGGGTATGTAAAGGTCATTTCTCAAGTTCTCTTCAAGTGTTGAGGTGGTATGGTAATACAACTGGGGTTGAAATTCCTCCCCGTTTTTCTCTAGCCTTTGATAGCAGAAGAGGCACTCTCAGGCTTTTTGGAGGGTAGGTAATCAAAGGCATACATGGCCTAAGGACTTCAAGCTTTCTAAAGGGCAGAAGCTTTCTCAGATGTAGCACTTGAGCTTTAATCAAAAAGCCACGAGTGCATATGCTATTTCTTATTCTCCAGGGCTGAGTGGGCTTTTGGTGTTGAAATTACTTTGGCACTGTGAGCAGCTGGGGAATTGGTATGCAAGGCTTTGTCTGTTGGCTAAAGTGGAGGAACAAGAGGGATCATAAAGAAAGTCTTTGATGGGTAAGTTTTGCTATGGGTCACCTTGAATCCCAAAGATATTCCAACTGCTTCAAGCTGTGAATAACAGATTCTTTCTTTTTTCTACACTCCTACGTTTCTCAGACAGGGGGTGATGAAATAAGAATTCCTTGATTTGGTACCACTTTGTGTTTTGAAATTGTGTTTATAACAAATAATCTGTGAGAAATAATGAAAAACCTTCAGTAATGTAAAAGTGTTATAGAAAGATAAGGTTTTATTGTTTTCTTCATCAACTCTCAAAGGCAAAGTGAAGGCAGCAATGCCTAAGATAACTGTATTCTGCTGTTAAAAAGTTGCTCCTAATTTTTGGTATATGTTTTACCTATGTTTGTCCTTATTTTTGAGATATGTAAGGCATATGGACAAGCTAATTAATAGATGAACTGTTAGATTATAACAGATAACTGATCAACAGAAAGTAAAGATAATGTCATGAAGTTTCTAAATCAAGGATGAAAGTAGAGCAGGCTTAAGATCAGTTCAATTTACCAAAACATGCAAACATGTATTGAGCATCCACTTGGTATTCACTTTTGGAAATGATCACTTTGTGCTACCTGATCTAGCGCAAGTGGTCATTTTGGTTTGGAGGTCTGAGTTGCTATAATTAGTTTCCTGGCAAGCATCCAGAATGTGCCCTAGGCAAAATGGTGATGTAGGTAGCTTGTTTTTGTGTCTCTCCTCCCAGTGGCTTCCCATACCATGTTTCTGCTGCCTCCTTTTGGACTGATACCTGATTCTCCTTCTCTGATTCTCCCAGATTCAAAGCCCCTGGGTTGGGTTGTGCCCTAGTAGGATCTTCCCTTTCAGCTCCATAAGAATTTGTTACTACCATGTTTCCTGACCCCCTTGAAACACACAAACTTGGTTCTCATATTCTCAAGACCAGACTTTGTACCTTCTCAAAGTGGGAGTTGCCTAATTTGAGAAGTTAACATGTGGTAGTCTTTTAATCATAGAATCCTGAATTGTAAAAATGGGGGGCACCCTCTCCCTTCCCCGGTAGTGAATATTCACTTAACCAGTGACTTTCTGGAGAAAGTTTCTTCTCTTTTTCTATGTCATTCCTTTTTTCCCTTCCTGAATCTAAGGGATAACTCTGATGCTAGGAATTTAGAGCAGGTAGGAAGGGAAAATGGTCAACATCATGACAGACTTGTGAAGGAGAGATTTTGAAAAGAGTAGGATTTTTGGGGTGCTCTTCTCATTATCCTATGAGGGTGGAGCAATTAATTCTGCTAACATTTTGAGTCTTCTCTCCAGACTTAGTGTCGAAGGAGAAGGTTAGTGAAGTGATAAATTTGGGGCAAGAGTGACATTGGGAGCAAATGGTACAATTGACTAATCCTAATAAATGTTACATGTCCAATCAAATAATTAAAACAAGACTACAGAAAAGTATAAAATTTGAGGCCAGAAGACATGCTTAAGTGTCATTACTCTCCGTTATGGACTGAATTAATTGTGGCCTCCTGAAAATTCATATGTTAAATCCCTAACCTTCAATGTGATGGTATTTGGAGATAGGACCTTTGGAAGGTAATTAGGGTTAAATCAGGTCATAAAGGTGGGTCCCTGACCTGATGAGATTGGCATTTTTATAAAAAGAAGAATAGGCATGAGAGAGCTCTCTTTCTCTCTCCCTCACACACACAGAGTGAGGCCATGTGAAGACACACTGAGAAGGTGGCTGTCTACAAGCCAAAAAGAGAGCCCTCATCAGGAACAAAATTTGCCAGCACCTTGATCATGAACTTATGGCCTCGAAAACTGTGAGAAAATAAATTTCTGTTGTTTGAGCCACCTACATTGTAGGATTTTTTTATGGTAGCCTGAGAAGACTTACTTTCCAACTCACACGAAATATTTGTAGAGTATTCAACCTCTTAAAGCAGTGTCTTCAGTATTCTCTTCAGTCCAACAAGTGTTCACTATACTCCTAGCTACTAATCATTGATACCTGTCTAGAATTAGTAAAATTCTCCTTCTTTTGGCTCTATCAGATATCACAATCTCACAGACATGGTTGATGCAGGCAGACTAAACCAGAAGTCATGCATTAGCTAGGTCTCTCTACACTGACATGTGACTGAATGTGACAAAAATATTTATTCGTTCCAGAACTTGTGAAAAGTACCCCAGAATTCTCATGCCAACAGTTATCTGGACTTTGAAGAATTAATTTTAGAATGCAGATTCTTTTAATGGGTACACTATTTCTCTAGGTGGCTGATTGGCCCTAACTTTAGTTAGCCAGTGGCCTGAGAAGAGCTCCCTGATTGGGTTTAATTGTATCATGTCATACTTTAATATATGGTAGAACAATGATAAAAATGAAAAAATTCAACAAAATTTACATTGTTCACCTAATATGGATGGAGATAGATAAATAGTTTATTTTCAAGCAATTATTTATAGCTACGAAAGCTTTTGGTAACAACGTCTTCCTCAGAACTTCAATTTATAAAATAGATATAAACGAAACAGCTTTAATTAAAGTAGAAGTGGGAAACTTGAGCAGCAGTGACTCCTGATATACTCTTGTAGAACCATAAGGCTTTAAGAACTCAATTTGAAAAACATTGCTTATTTAAAGTATGTTACTGTTTATAAGATTTGATTATTTGGGAAAAGATTGTGTTCTTACACTGAAACAGTTTGTAAAGGGTGCTAAAGCTGTTGCCAAGGTATTGCTAAGAGATATACAACAGTATTTAAAAAGCAGGCAAGTGGTAACCAGAAAAAGGAAGGAGAGATGCTAAAGATACTTGAAATGCGAAGTTTGCAGACTTACCCACATCATATCATACTTCAAGGAATAAGAACCAAAGAATTGTGGTTTATTTCAATAAGCTCCCTTCCCACCCTTCCTAGTTTGTGGTAGAATTTTTGGCCCCTATCAATGAAAGCCTACTAAAGAAAGAATAGCAAACATTCCAGTTTTTATTGATAGATATAGCATTTCCTGGCAAGCAGGTAGGTGGTATCTAAGAGATTGACAGTATCAGTGCAATGGGCCAGATCCAAGCCCTTTTAGAAATAATATTTAAAGTATTATTACATGAGTGTCCAGTGGTTGGCATTTAATCAGTATTCCCTCTTATTCCCCCTGCCCCAGCTTTTAAGTAGGAACTATGATTCTTTAGCCACTCCTAATAAAAACTACAGTCAGTCATATTTGGAAGGACTGTGGTTCAATTTACTCCTATCTAATTATATTAATTCACATGTTCACTTGCTAATTCAGTTTTTCTGGCTGGGTTTGCAGAGGTGGTAGATAAATGAGCCAAAGTGTCAAGACCCTTTAATACAAAGGCAGAGCTAACTTTTTCTGGGGGGAAAACTGACTCATAAAAAGAATTTCAGTGTAAACTGCATGGATTCTTCAATCCCCTGGCCCATATAAAATTATATTCCTAGTCTTTATACTGGGATAAAAATGGGCAGAGTTACAGAAAACTTCCTGCAAATTATATTGCTTCTACTCTTAAAAATGGATGTATTTGGCTCTCAAACAGTTTTTCTGCCTTCCAAATTCTTCAGAGAAATATAAATGACTCCAGAAGAGAAATAGAAGAATTCATTTCCAGCCCATATCTTGAGGGAAATAATGATAGCCAGCTGAGAATAAGGGCCAGGGGAAAGAGGGAACAGCATTGGCATCTGGGTATAAAAGTGGGCCACTGATAGGGGAGGTGTGGGAACAGCCCTGTTTTTCTATCCACCTTGTTGGAAAGCATGGAGTCAGGAATGAGAAGGAATTTCTGACTTACTGGCTAAAATCTGAATTCATTTTCTAAATTGCTCAGTTATTGTTTAGTTTAGAAAGTCATTCCTTGAAATATCAAAGATTTAAGGACTGGTTTGAACAGTCCTTTGAGGACAAGGGAATGACCATTGATTTTCTATTATCGGTTGATGATCCTACTGTGTGCTTTATATTTATTATTCTCATTAAATCTTCACGACTACCCTACTAGGTAGTTATTATTTTTCCCAGTTTATGCATATAAAATGCTGCACTCATTTATTCTGAGTCTAGCTGCAAACTTGTCGCTTTGAAAAAGTCTAATCCAATTCATCATTAGTGTTTTGTGTATAGAATCATTTATGTAAATGATGTAATGTAAATGTAATTTACATTATGTAATGTAATATAAATGTAAACAGTTTTGGAAGTTACTTCTAGTATTTGGAAATTTTTGGCACTGGTTCACTGCTTTAAAGAGGAACACATTTCAGTCCATAATTATAGCAGTCTTGGGTACCATTTGGGTCTTTTATTCCTCTGTTATTGCCAAGCCTGGAATCAACTTTATGAATGTGATTCACATAGGCATTTAGACCCTCTATGGCAAGGTGAAAATAATTATTTCCTCACCTACTTAATTGTAAAAACAAAATATGTCTTTTCTTTCAAATCAATCAATAAATTCATGTAATCAAATATGTACATGCACATGCACATGCACACACACACACACACACTTTCTTCCCAATACACATGTCCATTTCCATAGATCCATAGATTTATTTTGTGAAATTTAGCATATTCATTCACTGCAGGGAAAAAAATGAACCCACAGGCAAGGGTTACTTTTTCTTTTTCAATCACTGTTGGTGTGAATCCAGTTTCTTATTGAATTGAGATGTTACATTTGCTTTTTCTCACTTGAATACTTAAATGCACTTCCAGCAAGAGCCACAGAAATTCAATGAGATCTTGAAAAGAATTAGTGATTGTTCTGACTGGCTGCTGTAACCAGCTTGTAACAAATTTCAATTTTAATCATTGTGAAATTAAATAAATAGCTAAAGTCATAGTAAAACTTTCTTATCCAGCATGGGAAGGAGTCTCACAAAACTATTGAAACTCTAAAAGTAATCTATTATATTTCAGAATAAAATGTGGAGGAGAGAGGCAGTGTAGTATAGTGGAAAGTGCATCATACTATGCACGTGAAGACAAACAGGGCAATCCCTATTTCTAATTGTCTTTGGTGTGGTTTCTTTATCTTTAAAAGAGAGAATTGGGTTAGCAGATTTCTGTGGGTACCTATAACTCTAAAATTTCAAGATGTGAGTGACATAGAAGTTCTTCCAAGTGTGTGAATGTGGAAATTCTTAGATCAAAGTAAGCTGATATATGAATTTACTCATTCAAATGGTAAGCTCTAATTATCTCTATTCATACCTAAAAATACCACCCTACATTGATAATTCTTTAGGAGATGGATAGCATTACTTGGCATTATTATTTTTTTTCCAGTAAAATGTCGTTGTTCTTTGAACTTTGGGGACCATACTTGGCTGTCTTAGAGAGTGATTTATCATTAGCATCATAAGGAAACATTGCCTCACTAAAGGAGATGGGTAAAAAATGGGAGAAGCAGATGACAGCCAGGTAGAGAGAAAGGTACAGAGAGTGTACAGGTTTTCCCTAGAGTTAGAAAAGAAGGGGAAAACCTTGATAGTGTTGGGGAGCCTCACAATGTTGTTTTCTGCTCATGGTATTTGCCATTGTTAGTACTGGAAGGCTTTGTCATTATGTGGTTCACAAGCATTTTGCATCAGTTGGTGAAAGCAGTTAATGACTATAGAATCATGTTTCTACACGCCTGTAATCCTAGCACTCTGGGAGGCCAAGGTGGGAGGATCACTTGAGGTCAGGAGTTCAAGACCAGCCTGAGCAAGAGCGAGACCCTGTCTCTACTAAAAATAGAAAGAAATTAGCTGGACAACTAAAAAAAACTATATATAGAAAAAATTAGCCGGCATGGTGGCCCATGCTTATAGTCCCAGCTACTCAGGAGGCTGAGGCACAAGGATTACTTA